CGAGAGGTTAGTTCAATTTACTAACTTTAACAACAAATAACTTAAAAACTATAAGTCTGCTGCGGCTAAAAGTATATATATTTACAATCAGGAGAACTCCCTCTATCGTTCCATACCCTTCTTAATGCCGAACTCCGGGGATGCCAAACTAAATTGCAGCCAAAATCTGTTTAAAAATTTTTAATAAATTAATTTTTTTTTTACTTTTTGTACAAAGTTTAAAATGTGAAATTATGTACAATATACATATGTATGTCAATACAATAGTACCCCCATTTCAAAGTGATATCTATTGTTTGCCACTCAAGTTTATTATTTTTAGGAACTTTCAATTAAAATGCAGTTCATTCTCTAACAAAACCCAAATAGTATGTAAATCCAAGTTTAAAACTTTGTAGAAAATTACAAAAAGTGCAAAAAAATTTCACCCAAATTTCAAATTTTTTTCGTTAGAATTTGTTTGAGTACACAGTTTTATAGCCCATTAAATTTTAGTCTAATAATGTATGTAATTGATTTTTAAGAATTTTTCTCGCCGAAAGTGTTGATTCCATATAAAAATATATTCTGTTTATTCATTATATGGAGGCAAATGCGTCAAAAAAAAATCTTAAAAAAATCAACGGTAATTTTTAACAACTTGAAACTTGCAGTCACTATACAGTGACTCACATAAGTATTTTGCATGAGAAGGCGATTAAGTAAACCTTCGAATTTGTTTTATTTTATTTTTTTGTTAATTATTTCACTGGTTGTTAAAATTAGATCTCAATGCTAAATGAGCTATAAAACTCAAAAAAAAAAATCCAGCACTTCTGAGAAAAGTTTAAAATTTTGGTGAAAATTTGTGCCCTTTTTGTAATCTTTTGCGAAGTTTTGAACTTGGGTTTATATGGGTTTTGTAAGAGAATAAACTGTATTTTAATTGAAAATTCATTAAATATAAGTAGCAAACAATATCACTTTGAAATGGCGTTGCTATAAATATGGCCGATACTGTA